TTAAAATAATATTTTCTGTCTTTTGTTCAACATAATGCCAATGAAATATTGGCATTCTGTTGAATAAGAGCACCGCGCAGGGCAGATTTTCGGGGACGAGTTTTGATGTTTGCATCTGACAGTAATATAATTTTCTGGAAAAGCAGTGAAATAAACAATTCGGCGACTTTTTGCCACTTTTTGTGTAAGTACTTGCGATGAAGTTTCTAAAGAAATCTATCGTGTTTGTATTGGGAAATAAATATGTTGGTTTTCTTTATTGTGTATTTATTCAGTGTATTGTATTGAACTTTTGTTCAATACAATACACCGCGTAACCATTTTTGGTTACGCGGCCCGCGCTCGTCATGTTCTCGGTTATTAAAACTAGAATATTTTTCTCAAATGAGCTGTCTATAGCATACAAATATGACAGTTTCGTGTGTATTCTCAGAGAGCGGTGTGTGTCGTTTACGATACTTTGTCTTTTTACGGTAATTTTTATATTTTGACGATGCGCGGATAATCCGAAAAACGGATATTCGTGAGTAGTTGTAAGTAATCAATTTAATGTATTAAGAAATTAAATATAAATATTTTTCTTTTGTAGTTGTGGAATGCCATGTTGGATTTCTTCTTTTTCCTTCTGAAAGTGGAGAAAATCAGACGCGGCGAACGTTGTCCCATCGGAGGATTGCTGGATAATTATTAGAAGTGATTATTAGAATAATCTTACAATTTGCGGATATTAAACAGTTTGATTATTAAACTTTGCGGCGCCAATAGCGCAATAGTAGAGAGTTTTGTCGATAAGTTTCTGTAAGAAAATGTCTTTCGCGTAACACTCGAAATGTATTATTTATCAATCTCGATTATAGATAAAACAGTCAATCGAAATTGAACACTACACGACTCGATAGAGCAGCAGCGTGTACGTCGTGCACCTACCAATCCTGCGTATCACCAATATAAAATATATCTACACTTTTAAAGAAATAAATTAACCCAAGATGTTCCTTATTATTTCGGGACAATTTACAGACAAGAGTAACGTCGAACAATTTTGGATAGATACGTTGACACCTCTCGCGGGTCATCTACCTCTCGAGGGATTTTCTACGGCCAATGGCCTTATTTAGGTGTTAGACACGCCAAGTAATCCCGTGAAATAGCCCATCAGCGGAGTCTATCAGTATCGTGATATTTCTATCTATAAACATTTATATTTGTAATTTGTAATTGCGGTAATTTATAATCGAGATACGAATATTAAAAAGTAATAAGATATCGAATAGCCCAGACTGTAAAAACAACAAATACTTATTTAATATCGTGTTAAATAGTATAAGATATTAAGTTAGGTTGAAAATACTCAGGAATTGTGTCTTATGTTTGAAACGAATTGACGCGCTTGGAACGATTAAGAATAGAACAATGCCGGTAGGGCAAATACAGTTCTTTGCGATAGGCGGCCGGATGGCCGAGCGGTCAAGATGGCAGCCTACAGCCCTGGGAGATCCGGGGTCGAATCCGAACGGGTTGAAAAATCCCCAGGAATTTTTCGGGGGTGGTCCATTCGGATATGTCGGGCCCCGTCCTCCATCATCCGGCAGCCCCATTGTGGGCCTGGCCGAACCCATAATGGGCTTGNTCCAAAGGAATTTAGTATTTTACTTAGTTTGGATTGCCAGAGGTGCACTGTGGTTGATTTCTTACTACATTTGATTAATTCTTGATGTAAAAAAGTAATATTACTGTCACATTTGAATTTTAATCGATAATAAAATTTTATTATTCGTTTCATAAACAAAGGAAAAGAGCATATACGGTTGGTTTCATGGCGAATTGCGTATCCTGGGACAGTTCTTTCCAGATGAAGTAATTTGCGGAGAAAATAAACATGGAAGGTTTCTAATTTATATAAATAATCGAGACCCCAGATTGGGGATGCATAATATATGATTGGATTAATTATTGAGTTATATAATTTCATATGCAATGATAAGTTGGAGGTTTTTAAATTCGAATATAAGTTTAGTAAATTATCTATAGCAGTTTTTACTTTGTTGTTTAAGTACGAAACATGTGCTTGAACGTATGATTCCAATCAAAAATAACACCCAGGAAATTGTTTTCGTTTACCACCTGTAACAACTGTTTGTCCAGATATAGATGTTCCTTATTATTTCGGGACATCTTACAAACAAGAGTAATGTCGAACAATTTTGGATGGATACGTTGACACCTCTCGCGGGTCATCTACCTCCCGAGGGATTTTCTACGGCCAATGGCCTTATTTAGATATTAGACACGCCAAGTAATCCCGTGAAATAGCCCATCAGCGGAGTCTATCAGTATCGTGATATTTCTATCTATAAACATTTATATTTGTAATTTGTAGTTGCGGTCATTTATAATCGAGATACGGATATAAAAAAATTTAATAGGATATCGAATAGCCCAGACTGTAAAAACAACAAATACTTATTTAATATCGTGTTAAATAGTATAAGATTTTAAGTTAGGTTGAAAATACTCAGGAATTGTGTCTTGTGTTTGAAACGAATTGAAGCGCTTGGAACGATTTTTCACCCATTTGAATATTGGAACTCGAATATTTAAAACAAGTTTAAAGTATTTAATTTTGTTATATTTGCTCCAAGCAAATAATTAATGAATATTTTGTCGATTGATACCGTTTATAACATTTATCAAAGGAACGATATCTGTTTTTATCTAAACTTTTCCACGAACAAAGCTACCACTCGAATTGAAAAGCCCTCAAAATTCGCAGTCGAGTGAGTTTAGAAAGTAGGTCAAATAACTTGCTTCTAATCGCTGTCTACATTGTGGCAGGCGAGAAACGCCGTCTCTGCAATGAAATTTTTCTGAACAGCGGTCTACCCGATCTGTAAACCGCTGTCGGCCTCTAAACGTCGTCTCTGCAATCGGCCCCCAGTGTTCAGGGTGCGAAGACCGCTTGGCCACTGGTGGGCCTGGATACCTTCAGCCATAACTTCTTCCACACTTCGTTCGTACATTTATCAGTTAATTCTTGCCAAGCGAAGTCAATATTGCCTATGGCATTATGTTATATTTTTTTCAAAATTACACCAAACAAACATAGATTTAAAGAAAGTACACCTTTTTGCCACTTTTTTCTGATTGGTTCGTGTTCGTATATAATTGTATTATGTACGAATCAATAAAATGTTGCGATAATTTAAATCGGCGTAAAGTTTGAGCATTTTTTAATGCTTCGAGCAGACGGCGTTATATCGAATCAGCGTTAAACGAGGCAGCATTAAGCGGGATAATTATTACTGTACCTTAGTGTATATTACAACATTTTAACTAACTGTAATTTTAACTGTGAATTATATTTGTTTTTTAAATTTCAGTTCATTTTTAACTTATTATATATTATATTAATTATAATACAGTAGAACCTCGATTATTCGCCCTAATTGGGGACTCGGGTTGGTCGGATAATTGAAAAGTCGGATAACCGAAAAGTATGAAAAAATCCATTATTAGTGTAGTATATTATTATATCCCATGTAATTAGTATATTAGTATATTAGTATATCGCTATTAACCTATTTTGCGTTGAATTTTCATCGATGTTAAGCCTAACAAAAATTTTTTAAAATAATAATCGTCGCTATTGTATCGTTAAAAATTAGAAAATTAAGCTTCGTTTAAATACTGGCTCCCTTTCATGGTCGAATGAGTGTTGCCAGCTAAAACACGTAAAAATAATATTAAAGTAGCCAAGACATAGCCAAATATTGTAGCGCCACATCACTAGCGGACATTTGAAATTTGCCGACTAGGACGGTCGGTTAACCGAGGGGTCGGTTGATCGGGGGGCGGATAATCGAGGTTCTACTGTATACTTATTTATTAATTTTAAAAAATAATTATTGAATAAATCCTGTCACATAAACGGAAAGAATAAATTAATTTTATAAATATTTATTTAATTTTATAATAAATATTTAAAATAGACTATGCAGTATTATTAACTTACTATTAATAAGTTCGTAATACTAGAATTTAAAATTTTATTGTATATTTAAAAAGTATAATAATTTAATAAAATAACATTTATTACCGCTTGATAAATTATTAATTATATTAGTTAATGATACTCAAATATATAAGAGGATAAAGCTTGAAAGGGGTGAGATAGTATGCACTTATCCATCACAAATTTATACTTTCAGCCTTTTCGAATATAAGCCTAATTTTATTCACATATTTTTAAACTAATAGTATAAAAAATAAAGAAAATAGTTTTATATTAAAAAATCTTTAGTTTTTCCATCATATTTTTTATATAAAAGAATAAATTTTCAGAGCCTTTCTCTCTCATTTAAATTTAATAGTTTTGTCGCCCTCCCGTTTAAATTTATAATATATAGAAATTCGTGATAATTTATGTACTTTACGAACTTAATAACCTATTTCTTACGAAGTAAATGATCGATGAATTGATTTGTTGCCGGAAGGCACAGCATAAACGTAACAGAGTCGTCAAACATAGCTGACTAATAGCAAAATTGAATCTCTGACACATAAGAAAGTATATTAATTAATAAATAAAACTATAACACAATTTTTATGCAAGAAAAAATTAGCATTATATTCACGTACTACATTTAAAATCAGTAAACTGTAACTGTAAAGATCATAGTTATTTCCACTAGAACTTTCGTATTTTCAACATAAATGACTGTGATAATGACAACTGAATTACATTTTCATTTAAGAATATTTAAGCATAAAAATTTTAATGATTACAACGAAGAGTATTAACCTGTAAGCAAATGAATCACTAAACATTTACAGAAATGTTCTGCAATTACAGGAAAACAAGGTGTTCGCTTTGTATCATTTATCATTCCAGACTTTTTATAACAGGTTTTAAAACTTGTGTATGTGATAAGATAAGAATTTCTGTTTATAAAATTATGCTGTATCCAGTCACACGTACTTCTCTCTTTGAAATGTTCAATATGATTTGTATATTTACGTTACTACTCGTAATTTTACAATGTTGTAAAGCAATTGATTCTAACGAATATGACTTTATTATCGGTGAGTAAGAAGATTCGGTATTTTTTATATTAAAATTCATATTTTAACCATTTATTAAAATCTCGAACTTCATAGAAGTAATTAATATTTGCACTTATGTGTTTAATTTTAGTTGGTTCTGGTGCCGCCGGTTCAGTTATGGCTAATAGATTATCTAAGGATCCTTCTAACAGGGTTCTTCTACTGGAAGCTGGTGAAAGACCTAACTTAGCGAGTCAGATTTATGCACTATCTTTAGGTGAAAGCAATGCAAGACATGATTGGAATTTCACGTCCATACCACTTAAAAGAATTGGGCAGGGATTACGAGAAAGGGTAAAATTATTATGTAAACGACTTTGTTCTCGTATAAAATGTAAATTAAGTTTTTTTTTTTTGTCTTATAGCGGCTCTCGGTAGCAGCAGGAAGGGTTCTGGGCGGTTCAGCTTCGTTAAATGCCGGTGTTTATTTTCGAGGAAACAGACATGACTTTAATAATTGGGCTCGAAATGGAGCGATCGGTTGGGACTGGCAAAATGTTTATCCTTATTTCTTAAAAATGGAAGACAATCGAGATATTGGGATTGTTGCAAACGGTAACTTACATCAGCGTTTACAAATTAATATTAGGATTATATTAAATAGATAACTTATTTACAGGGTACCATGGTGTTGGTGGAGAATTAGTTATTCAGTTTCCTCCCTTTCATACCGCATTGACAAATGCATATAATGAAGCAGCGGAAAGTATTGGTTATCCGTATGGAGATTACAATGCACAGCATCAAACTGGTAAAGGAATGACAAATATTTGCTATTAATTAACAAAAACGTAAGAAATTTATAATGCAAAAATAATTTTTTCGTAGTTTTTATGCAGCCTCAAGGTGCAATCAATCGTGGAATAAGATGGAGTGCAGTTCGAGGTTTTATCGATCCAATCATAGGAAGGAGGAATTTTCGATTGATTACGTCTGCATTTGTAACTAAGGTATGTAAAAAAATGCATTCTAAATATGGCCATTTAACATGTAAAAACAAAACGCAATTTATAAGTGTTTGTATAAGGAAATTATTTTAAACCAAATGTTTGTTGACAATAGCTACTTGTTACTTGTTACCTAAAATAATAAGTTTATGTAATTTTTGAGAAGTAGTTTTAAAAGTGATAAATTATCGTGTTTTTTCAAATTAGCATTACAATTGAGAAATTCTATGGAATAAGGTAACCAAGTGTATTTGCTACCTTTTTCAGTTAGGTGTTTTATTATGCACATCAAATAAAGTGCTGTGGATAAAGATGTTATTATAGTATGCATGTTACTCCAGCGCATTTAAAATTCACTCACTTCATAATAATCCTTATAGAAAAAACAGCTTTAAAGTGATTGAAATTAAAAATGCATTCGCTTAAGTGAATAATATGAAATCCGATATGGAGTTTGAACTTGTAGATTGATTTTACACTATTGATAAAGTTATAATGAATTTAAAATGCCCATTGTAACACATAACCTTATTCTATTTTTAAAAATATTTGCTTAAAAACGAGAATCAATAACAACAAAAAACTTATTAGTAGAATAACACTTCCAATTCTTTTTTGAAACAGACTTTGAAATTGTTCTTTAATAACAAAATTTAAAAAATATATATACCTTACAGTAAACTACACAAACATTCTATTTTAACTAATACGATGATTTATAATTATTTCAGATATTAATTGACGAAGATAATAGAGCTTATGGTGTTTTATTCGATCACAATGGAAAGACTCTCACGGTATTTGCAAGGAAGGAAGTGATAATATGTGCCGGGACTTTCAATTCTCCCAAATTGCTTATGTTGTCAGGAATTGGGCCGAAAAATGTTTTACATAGTTTACATGTAATTGGTAACATTACTAACAATTATCTAAATGCGAGAAAATCGTTATCTTAAGAATATATGCGTAAATTGTTGAAGGTTAAAGCTTAATGTCGAATATATAAAGAACTAAAACACAGCACCCACAGTTAATATAATAATTACATTATAAATAAATCAATAAAATATGTTATTCCTTAGATACCTGTGAAAGTGGATCTTCCTGTAGGGAATAATCTACATGATCATACTTCGACTACAGTAATGCAATTTCTTGTTGATTCTTATACGTTTTCGAAACATCGATTTACTAAAGAAGATTACCAAGAACTTCTAATTAATGGAACAGGTAGTTTTTTGCATACTTTTCAATGATTAATATAAGATAAAGTTGATATTATATACAGTATATATAAAGAAAATACTTTCTTTTTTAAAGTTGTAGGGATATTCGTGAAGGTTAGCGCTCGCAAATCCAACTTAATTTTCATAGGTTCAGTCACATTCTATCACATCGAAATCATCTCTAAAAACATTATTTCGTACAGATCTACTAGAAAATTTACACCAACCGTAAATTCGGATGTTGTAAACAGAATGTCATAAAGCGAAATCTTTTCTAATATTAATGTTTAATATGGCTATATAATTATAGTTAAATAAAATATTATTATCACAGTATTTTACAACATATAGTAATTTGAATCATGATAATTTACTATGATATTATAATTCAAATTTTAAATTATTTTCTGTTAAATATATCAATATGTATAATTTATTGCATAAATTTTAAGATATAATACTGTACTAAATAAATTACCTTTTTATTATATTTGGAAAATAATTAATTTTGTTTTCAGGTCCACTGACTACACTCGGAGCAGTAGAATCGAACGGAGCCGTTAACACCAAGTATAACGAAAATAGAGATTGGCCTGATGTAATTTTATTTTGGCTAACTTCTAGACTTGAAAATGCACTTTCAAATGCAAATGATGAAGTATTACTATTTCTATCGCTTTGTTGTTTTCAAAAATACAGTCGAATCTCTAATTACGGCCACCTAAACGGCAGCCATTTTTCCAAGAATATTTCTCTTTGAAATACATTTGGCAATTTTTTATTCGCGCCAATGGCCATTGTTGAGAGATTTGAGTGTAATTAAATTGAAAAGATTTTTAAAAAATTATAATTAAATTTCAGATACAGAATATATTTGATAAATTTAAAAATCAGGATGTCATTTCATGCTTACCTTATGTCGTTCGGCCTAAAAGTCGAGGAGTGTTAACGTTGAAATCCAAAGATCCTCATGAGAAACCTCTAATTGATTTCAATATCTTATCTCATCCTTATGATTTGAAAGCTCTTGTAGAAGGTAATCAGTTCTATTAATTAACATAATCAGTTTCCGATTGACAAATGTCTACCGATCTATAATTTGAAATTTCGTTAAATTAAAATTAATGCAAGTAATGGATACAATAAAAGTATATTTTTATTTATAGTTATAACTTTTAAAGACACTTTGAAAACTCTTATTTCATTTATTAGTAAGTAGTTTACCTATTGTAAGCTTATTGTACCAGAGATCGTAATTAAAATGCTCTGTCTAGAGAGAGATTTAGCAGTTCAAATTTTGCTAAATCTCTAACTATGATTTTACAGGACGTGCAAAAAATATTTCTATATAGAAAGAAAAGTTAATATTACAACTTATCCTTGTGGCACTTTTGAAGCTGCAACCACGTAAACGCAGTTTTCTTTGCGTAGGCACACGTGTTACAGCCATGTTCTGAATATAAAAGTGAACACAACTGTTGATTGTCATTCTCATCAGTTAGGTCCATCATTACCTTGCTGCAGCATGCACTTCTTGTGAAGCTATTTGATCAAAACAATGGTAATACTGCGGGTGCACTTCGGGAACTCTGCTGTTTGAAGAATTTAGGCAGAAGACCTTTGATTCTGAAAGAAATCAGGAGAGTAATCGCTCAATCTAAGGAAAATCATGATCCAAGAATTTAATCCGTTTGAAAGCTTTACAAGTCATTGAAGATGTTAACATAGCTATTGTTGAACAGTCAATGAATAATGCTGCATACATCAGGTAGTACACTTGCAGTGGTACGACAGTTCGATGTATTTTTGAAACAATATTATATTATTGATACAATATTATAGAACATATTAAGAAAGTTGATGTATAGATATCCATATAACATCAGTCACAACGGGAAAATCCGACTGACTTTTGCATTGGCTTTCCTTACCAGATGTGTTATTGCTGTAGAAGAACCTGTGGAATGAAAAGGGACATTTTTTTATTTTAGTAGAAAAGCGGACACTCATAACTTGCATTTGAGCCGTGGTAAATCTTCATGTTTTCTAACAGATTCCACTGCATTCGTGAAATATGGATTCACAGTTGGTAGTTGCTATAGACTGTGGCAAAGCTTTCAGACACCCAATTTTATGTAAGAAGAGACTAATTTCATATTTTGAATGTTGCGTACAGCAGGTTCTACGGCAATATTTCACCGATTTTAATGATTAGTTTGCATTTCCTAATGCCAGGACACTACTTATCTAAATTTTAATCCGTTTAGTTTTTGGTTGCGAAGATTACTCAAAAAATGTGGTTTGTAGAGGAGATGTTGCAAATTTGATGCTTTTCAAATACAGTACACTGTATTTGAAAAGCATTACAGGATCAATTGCTATGGCCCGATGAACATGCTGTTCAATTCCATTAGATTTTACACCCTCAGAATAAACCAATTGAACTAAGATCCCCGAAAGCACAAGTGCCATGAGTTTCGGTGCTACTTTTTACGGAAATATCTTTTGAAGATCCTGAAATGCAATCATACTATATTTGGTTGCAAATGGATTACTAAATATTTCTGTAAATATTGAATTGGAGTATTTTAATTACAGTCAATAGGTATATACTGTATTTTGAATATGGTATTTAATATTATAATATTAGGTAGACAATTTTTATTAAAAGCGTTACATATATATATTTAAATTTATGCAATTTATGTTTATAGGTTCAAAACATTGTTTGTTAATGGCATCTACAAAACCTATGAGGAAGTTTAATGTCAGACCCCTTCCGTTTATTATGCCAGGATGTGAACATTTCAAACCATTCAGCGATGAATATCTGGCTTGTATCGTTTCCGTTTTGCCTTTCTCAGGATATCATTTTGTTGGAACCTGCAAAATGGGTCATCCAGATGATCCTTCTTCAGTAGTAGATCCAAGTCTCAAGTTAGTGATCTTTATTTTATATATATATTAATTGATATATATATATCAATATATATTATATATATATATATATCAAGTAAAACTGCTAATTGCAAGCAAATTCATTACTGAAATTGTGAAAGAGACTGTGATTTTGTGAAATATATAAATAAAATAAATATATATATATATATAAAAGTCTTACATGAAGACTTTCGTTGGACATTAAGGTTAGCAATTTCGATCACAACCTATCCAACACGGATCACNTCCCTACTGCATCAACAATGTGTGATAAGTCCTCTGAGAGCCAAAACATAATATAACTGAATACGTGAGCGCTAAAATGTTTCAATTTTATTACTTTCCCGTCTTTTATATCTAATAATAATATATGCATTTCTAATGCTCTGCGTTACAAAGCATTGAGTTATAATTTATAAAGAATTCTAGTAACAAGATAAGAATATAAAAATTCCACATTAAAAGCAGAAATATAAAAATACATCTGTAAAAATGGGGTTTGTATTGATAGGATAAAAGAGAAATCATTTTATACAGTTGCATTTTTTATATTTTTTTATTTATTGTAATTAGTGTTTCTCAAAGTACAGAAAATATTGTTAAACTTAGCATTATTAGCATCAATTATAATAAGCAGTAGGAATATTTATGGCCACATAGATCAATACGCTAACAGTGGAGGAAATGTTCCGCTCAATAGTGAAGACGTGATTTAAGCACTTTTTCAGTGGTTCTACATTCTAACTCAGTAGTCTTCGTTTCAAAACAATCGGATTCGTCACCAAACTTGATACGCTGCCAGTATCTAGCAGTCCATGCTTCTCTATCACAGCACAAGTGTAAATGAAGCCGACGATGTTTGGGTGCTGTGCATAACGGCCTGGTGCACGACTATGCAAATTTTCCTGTTCCTGGCATCTGCCAATGGTATGGGAAGAAAGGTTTCTTCTTCTGTCTCTGGATAATGGAGAAGATGCCGTTGTAGCCATTCGTACTTGTGTAACGATCGTATTGATCATGTCTTCTGATGATCTGTCTAGAATGTCCAGACCCTTTTGCCGTGTACATGTGCCCTCAAGTAACCGCTGCCCACAATACTTGCTCAATATCAAGGCAAAACGGCTCAGACACTGGGCAATTCGGCGAAACAGCCATCTTGCTTTCTTCAGCCCAATGAGGAGTTCTTTTATAAACTCCGACAGCTGAGTTTAATGTTAATTTTAAGATTCTTATGGAATTACCTGGAGTGAAATCGGACCACAGCGGAATCCACAAACCATATGCCTGTCTTATAGTATGTTTGCTGTAAGAAAAGTTATGCACCAATCTTGGTGCATACCTTTTCTGTGAATGAGTATATATGTTCTTGGTTGCTAATGAAACGAGTGAATGATTGTTACTTCGAAAGAGACCATCATCAGTACAAACTGAGTAATAGCTCAACATTGCAATACTACACTGCAAAATTTCAGATTAATATTAAAAATATAAAAACAATCTGTACAGAACAAAATATATACAAAAGAAAACTAAACAGATAAAAGAATTAACACACATAATGGTATATAGATAAATAAAACATGGCAAACTTATATTATCAATTCTGTACTCACATATCAGAAGTATCCGGGGCATGGCAGGATAGAAATAATTGTCAAAAACTGTACCTTGATATATTTGATATGTTTTTCATAAATCTTTTGGTTAAATGTGGTGTTAAACGTGAAATTATACAGAAAACTTAACGAAAAGAATGTGAATATCAGAAATATTACGTATTGTATATTGAATGTGATGTAAAACTTTAAAAGATTGTAAATAGTATGAATATAATATTATTTTATAAAATTGTAATTTTAAGTTAATCAATTAACAAATGAGTTAATAAATAAAGGTGCTTAATAGGGGAAAAATATCTCTCTTCAGTACAGTACCTTTGTCCTCTTCATATGGGAGGAAATAACCTCTCCATATGAAACAATCTAAATTCCTGCGTGAGACTTCCGAGAAAACATTATTACATAAGTTTTAGTAAACATTACAAGGAAAAAAGGGAAGTGAGTAAAAAAAGAAAAACAATTTCTATTTTAAATCATATTAACTTTTCCATACACAAATTCTCTATTCCTCACTACTGTTGCCATTTACGTAATATAAACGAAACGTCATATAATGAAACGGAAAAAATAAAATTTAAACTTTTACTAACTTATCGAATTGAGAAAATTTTCTCCTATGAAAAACAATAACGATTTACATAGTATTAATTATCTAAAATGGGCTGATCATTATTATTATTAATAATTACACATAATAATATGCAAATGGTGTAGCACATCAGATAAAAGAATATATCAACTGTTAATTAATTATTTTACTACACACAACATTACGTAATTTATTACGTAATGTTGTGTTTATAAAATGTTGTGTTGATAAAATTACGTAATTTGTTAAATTCATTCATTTATAAAGTAATTTATTTTATTTAAACAATATCACTATTATTATTTTTAATTTTTCAGATTTTAGTACATAAAAATATACACAGGTTGATGAAGTGTTACAAAATCTAAGTTTTGAGTGAGTTGATGTTTAAGATTTTATCACATATTTAGCTATAATTACAGAGAGTGTTACTTACCGTTCAATCTCTGAAATCTTTGACGATGGTATGTGGCATTCTGATATATTAAATCTTCAACCATGCAATACAATCGGGTTTCGAATGACTGTAATATAACACCTTTATCAATTCGTGTCTTCAAATGTATATAGGAGTGCATAAAGTCTATTTTAAGTATACATAATAATTTTTCTATAGATTGAAACTTAATACATGGCTCTTTACTAATTAAAAATCTGTTTTTGTATTGGCAGAGTTAAAGGCATCCATGGACTAAGAGTTGTCGACGCATCGATTATTCCTTCATCAATTGGGGCCGCTACAATGGCTCCTACTATGATGATAGCAGAGAAAGCAGCAGATATGATACTTCATAATTTATAAAATTATATATATCAATTTTTATATGTTATTACAAGTTTAATATAATATAAAATAGTTTTAACTGAATTTCGGTTACTAATCATAATGTAGTAACGTAAATCTTGTGTATTTTAGTCAGCTGTAAATCACAATCTGTAGTATGAACGGCTGAAAGAGAATAGATCGATTGTCCGAAATGCATACCGTCGCTATAATAATTATATAATAAGTGTTTATCCATCTTTGTGAGATTCCCTACTGCATCAACAATGTGTGATAAGTCCTCTGAGAGCCAAAACATAATATAACTGAATACGTGAGCGCTAAAATGTTTCAATTTTATTACTTTCCCGTCTTTTATATACAGGTAACCCCCGTATAAAACGGGAGTTACGTTCCAAAAAAATGCCGTGTTATGCGAATCCGTGTTATACGAAACAAAGAACTAGTGCGAAAAGGGGGGTTAGGTTCCAAAAATTAAAAAAAAAACATGCTGTTAAATCCTTATTTAGATCGGATTTATTATTCCTATTTTTCATAGATAAAATACTTATTTATTATTTAAGTAAACATTTTACCAGAGGATTATTCATCCTGTCCTATATGATGATCTCAGTATGAGCATCATCAAGTGGTAACAGATTTTGAATGCGTTCGTTAATAGCGATCGCACTGCAACGCGAGTGCGCTGCTGTTTGTAGGCATTTAGGAACGACGGTGAAAGAAAGATGGCGGCGTTTGCACTATAGATAGTATCGTGATTGAGGCATCTATAATTCTAAAATGAGCTTTTTGAGGTAAAAGAAGAGTTCCAATTGTAAAATTTAATTATTAAATGGATTATTTGTTGAAAGAGCATTCAAAGTAGCCACGAAAATAATTAGAATGCTCTCGCGGAGTTACGCGGAAGTATAGAAGAACACACCCTTTATTACATTTCATGTTGTGCGAGGGTTTTACCCAATTCCCGAACCGTGTTAGAGTGAACCCGTACTATAAAAGTACCGTGTTATACGGGGGTTGGCTGTATAACAGAGGAAGAGCATGGCAATTGGTCAAAAACTCAGCACACAGTTTTTACAATTTTGGATTCAGGACACCTTGAAACGTCGAGAAATGCAAAAAAAAAAATTGAGGGTAATTTCTGTATGTATGTATGTATGTTAGTGTGTGTATGTGGGTTGGTATGATTTTGTTCACCCTGTTTCAAGCTGAATAACTTCTGTGCTTTTTGTGGAAAATTTCTAAAATTCTGCAGGGAGGTTTGATTGAGTATTAGGGGAATTGATGCTGTTAAATTTCGGCTGTTAAAGGTCGAGGGGTGGAGAGATAATGGGGGCAGTGGTGATATTCGAAATATTTAACGAAGGGTTCGCTAACAAAAAATTCTTCCTTAACAATTTTTTTCGTTCAAATGGTGCATTAGCAACATTAACGCAAAAACTGACCTTAAGATACACATATAAATAAAAAAGATGCGTTCGCAAAATTAAATCAGTTATAATTTAACATTGTTTATGCCAGAACTATATTTTTTTGATAAATAAAAAAAAGTGTTCAAAATGGTTTATTTTGTACATATTTTAATATTTTTCATTCAAAATATTTTATAAACATAAAAATTCTCAAGAAAAAACTCAGAAAAAGTCATAGGGAAAGCAGGGGCCGTATTCTGGTCATTGTCTCTGGTCTCTCGCCTCTCGCAAGCTGGTCGCTGACTGCTAATCATTTAAATTAGCCAATCAGCGACCGGCTTGCGAGAGATGAGAGACCAGAGACAGTGACCAGAATATGGCCCCAGGTTTAACTGCTTTCCCTATGACTTTTTCTCAAGAAAAAACTTTTCTAAATCATTTATTTTATCCTTAGGTATTATTATAATAATAGACAGATGTCATCGTCTCTCGAAATACAATATCTTTCTTATTTCGCTGTTGATAGCCCGACACGTGCTCCGCAGCCATCTTGTATTTTCTCGCGCGCGTGGGATTGTGGGATCTCTCGTATGACTGGACCTAGTTTCAAGAACTCTCTTGAGTCGATCGCGATTAAATCTCGTTTCAGTCGAGATTGAAACGGTCGATGGAGGTTGCACCATGGCGAACGGGGTATAAGGCTCTAGTTTAGTAGTGTTACAGAGTATAATACGTATATTTTAATATATTTTTTAAAAGAAACAAAACCACTGAGAAATGTTACGTGTGTTTAACAACGGGTTCGGAAAACTTTGAAAATGTTAACAACGGGTTCGGCCGAACCTGTGCGAACCTGCTGAATATCACCACTGAATGGGGGACGTGTGTAGCTCCAGTTTATTCGTTATTAGCATTTACAATTTTTTTAAACTCATAACTATCTCAAAATTAAGCTTTTTGCCATTTTATAATAGTTAAAAATATAAATTTTGAAATAAAATATAATAACAGATGACGTTTCTGCTAGTTTCTATAATTGGCGTTTGAGGGCTTATTGCAAACGATAACAATTGCTAAGTGGCTACGTAAGAAATTTCTGTTACTAATACAGCTCTTCTGATCTACGAGGTATCAAATAAATAAAATACTTTAAAATTATTCTATTCTGAATTATTTATTTGACATAAGATCAGCAGAGTAGGGAGAAAGCTAACAACTGTGCCAAATAATGTAACTATGGAACGAATCGAATTTCTAAATTTAAACTAACTTGTAAGTTCTATATTCTATTATGAACTATTTGGGACTTACTAAAGGTAATAAAGGATAGAAGCATTAAATACAGATTGCGGGTTTGGGTCCCAACAATGTGCTGGAGGCGTGGAGTTTTCCGAGTTTTTGTTATATGTCTAACACTAATATAGGTTTATTTCCCCTTTAAAAAGTCATTCTGTAAGGCATTCCCCTTGGCAGATCGCACGTGTCTTGTTGTATTCCATCAAACATTATAAACTATCCTCTTGTCCAATTTCCAACGGAAGAAGCCGGTTTATACTTTTTTGGATACCTTTTACTTTTCCGGCTCTGTTATATATGTGGGTTCCCAGACGAGGTTCGAACTCGAGTAAATCTCGAAATTCTTATGTGACGTAAACAGATGTAAACAACGAGACTCATAACTGTTCGAATATGTGTCAAACTATCTGTCAAGGTCTTAGTGGAAGACAAACTTCAACACGAGCGCTCATAAATAAGTAGATCATTGACTCGCGGGTCTATAAAATGTTGGTCGAGATAAACCTTTTCGAACAAAAAAAGGGGAAGTTTTGATAGATGAAAGATGAAAATGATCGTTAAATTCTTAGACGTCAAAAAAAAATAGTATAAACAACGGCCTGAATTATGAGTGCGGGTGTTATTGTTTTATAAACAATCACCGGGCAGAATCGACAAAGAGGTATCAAATGGACACATCGAATCGAACCTTTCCCACGACCCGAAGAAGTTTCGTCTTGCACCTGGAGACAAGGAAGAGACCAATCGGAGAAAGAAAAAAAAGGACGAAAAACCAATCAAAAGTACGGAAGACAGAAGAAAACGTATAAAACCTGGGACTTCAAGATCGGAAGAGCTCTCTCTGACAGTCTCATCCAACTGCTCTCTGGATATAGTTTCGTGTGCTAGTGTGAGGAATCTGTGCCGCCTGGAACGCAGCAGCGACTCTCATCCCGTCGACATCGCTCAAGGACTTAGACTCGCACGCTCCGGGGCCTCTATAGACTAAGGACCGAGGAAGTAGAACTATAAACCTGATGTAAGCTATGACTGTTTCCATAATGTTACCAAATAAACGGCTTTGTCTTTTGTAAACACTTGCCTCCTCAGCCACACCCATGTACATCCTTCCCTTAGGTTCATCCTGACGCGGGATTAACTGATCCCACCTAAAAGACGGAAACCTTATACAGGTGTCGAGGACTGGGTTTTCAATTTCCCTATCTCCACCGGATCGGCGACCTTACATATATAACAGAGGGAAAGTACGGCGATCGTTCAAAAAGACACTGCAAGATTTTCACATCTTTGTACACGACGGAGCATGAAATGTCAAGAAATGTAAAAATAAAATAATAATAATAATAATAATAAAATAAAATCGGTTTCTTCTATATGTATAGATGTTAATGTGTGTGGGGGACACGTTTTCGGTTACGCAGTTTGATGAATAACTCGCGTGCTTTTTGTCGAAAATTTCTGAAATTTTACAGGTTTGTATATTAAAGGATTCATGCTATTAAATTTTAATAATTAAAGGTCGAGAGAGAGATAGAAGGTCATGTGTTATATACAAACTTTACTCGTTATTAGCATTTATAAAATTTTACAAAACTCATCCTTACCCTGAAAATTACGCTTCTTGCCATTTTATAATAATTAATTATATAAAAAGTTTTTAAAATAAAATAACATAACAGATGCTTCCACACGCAGTTTTAATTGTTGTGTGGGAAAGTAAAGCAACTGGTTGAGGGATTTTTTATTTGGTTTACTTGTTAAGAGAAACTTCTTTATATTAACTTTATGAGTGAAAATTTATTCTGTAAAATAAAGCAACGTACAACTTATTCCAACAAAGTAAAATTATTATTACAGATACTACAAAAGTTAAATATTTATTTTATTTTTTCGAAACATAAAAATACAGTTGAGTTATTGTAAACCTTTATTTTATCGCTAAATCTGAGTGACACGTATTCTAAAAAAATATAAAAATGTATAGTATCGAAGGAAAATCTACAGATCTAAATGCTTTCCTTAAAATTTTTCCCTAATGCCTTAGTGTATATTACAATATTTTGATTAAAATTCCGTGAATTATATATTTGTTTTTTAAATTTTATTTCATTTTTTAAACTTACTACATATATTATACTAATTATAATATATTTATTTATTAAAGATTTTCAAAAAAAATATTAAATAAATCCTGTCACATAAAAGGAAAGAATAAATTAATTTTATAAATATTTAAAATAGACTATGCAGTATTATCAACTTACTATTAATAAGATAAATCTAAATTTGATTTATTTAACAACACTAAAACGATTTCTAAATGAAGGGTTCAAAGCATGCAAACAAAATTAATGCATAATTAAATAAATAAAACGTATTAAAATAATTATAAAAACTAAAACTAAATTAATACTAAATAAATTAAACCTAAAAATTAATTAAAAGTAAAAATAATCATTAAATTTAAAAGTACTAAAATAATAATTAAACTTCTGGCCTTTACACCAAAACCAAAGTAGAAAACACATTGTTTTCTACTTTGGTTTTGGTGTAAAGGTGTTTGCAGTTGAAAAACACGTCAAAGAGAACAGTAATAACGTTGTTTACAGTAAAATCATGTCAAGACGAATTATTTATTTACAGTTAAAAAAAACACGAAATAAATATTTTCAGTGATCATTTAAAAAAAACACAAGAAAGAAAAAGTGGCTTCAGTCGCAGAAAAAAAAATCTGCGAAGATAACATCTCTTTAATTACAGCCGAAAAAATTAGCGTAGAAAAGACTAAAATGTCTTGATTTTCGGCATGTCCAATTAACAGGAACAACATCTTCTATTGAAGAAACGATCTTAGATTAAAGGCTACGCCTCTACAAAATAGGCAAAAACAGGTGAAAAAGTTCATATGTGGCAAGAAAAAACAATTAAAAAATACATAATTTCTTTTTAAAAAATGGCTGATTTTTAAAACTGGTTTTGAATGTTTTGGCAGAGGCGTAGCCTTTAATCTAAGATAGTTTCTGCAATGGAAAACCGTTGTTCTTGCTGATTGGACATGGAGAAATTCAAAACATTTTAGTGTTTTCTACGTATTTCCTTCAATTATAGTTGAAAAATTCCATCATTAAAAATAGAATCTCTTTAGTTACAGACAAAAATCACAACACAGAGAAAAATAAGTTATCTTACCAGGATAAAAGCCTCTTTACTATTAATTGTTTCTGCAGTCTGAACTGTTGTAACACTTTGAGTTACATAACGTATTGACTCGTTTTCAATTCTATTGATTTGTTGAACACTTCGTAGCACAGAAACACTTTGAAAATCCTTGGTCTCCAGTTAGAAATTAATTCGATGACGCTACTCTTAGCGATATTTCGTTATCGGAATCGATTATAAGAAACATGATACAGTTCCCCAAAATTTCTCTAGCTTTGGCTACTTTTTCTTGGACAATTTTCGAACTGACAATTGATTGTCGGGCGTGTGGCGAATTGGCTAGCCAAAGCCCGAAATATTTTCGTACATTTCAGGCTTTGGCCACAAGACTTGGCCAAAGCTCGATGTGGCCAGCCATTTCGCGAATTGGCTGTAACATATACACAATATAGAATTTTACACAAAATACTAAATTTTGAGGGCCTTTCACTCTCAAGTATCCGAATAAAATACTTTAACTGGACTACTGTTAAAATTTAAAATATTTAGAAATTCGTGATAATTTTTTATATATTTTACGATCTTTTTAATATATCTAATAATCAACTTCTTACGAACTGAAGAATCGATGGATTGATTTGTGTATGTCACAATTTTCAATGTATCTGTTGTTTGGAGGTCTTCAAATGCCAGACTGGACGAAGTCAACGAACAAGATTAATCGATAGAAATTGAATCTTTAGCACAAAACTAATGAAAAATTTATAAAATATAAATAAATATAGGATAATATAATTTAAATTTATCTTATAGGCAAATTTAAAAGTATAACATAAATTTCACATAACAAAAAATAGTATTATATTCACGTACAATACTTCTACATTCAAATTCAGTGAAGTGTAACAAGGAAGATAATAGTCATCTTTCCTATAATATCTTCTTTCATATTTTCAACATGAATGATTGCCACAAAGACAGCTGATTTATATTTTCACTTAAGAACATTGAAACGTATATAAATACGGAAATTTTAAGAAATTTCAAATGAATGTGTTAACTTACAGGTGAATGAAACACTGATCATTTTAAATATGTTCTACATTTGGAGGAAAACAAGGTGTTTGCTTTGTATTATATCAGATTGTTTAGTCTATATTAGGTTTAATAACATTTACATATGAGAAGATAAAAATTTCGGTTCAAAAAATTATGCTGTATCCAGTCACACGTACTTCTCTCTTTGAAATGTTCAATATGATTCGTATATTTACGTTAATACTTGTAATTTTACAATGTTGTAAAGCAATTGATTCTAACGAATATGACTTTATTATCGGTGAGTAAGAAGATTCGGTATTTTCTTCATTAAAATTCATATTTTAACCATTTATTAAAATCTCGAACTTCATAGAAGTAATTAATATTTGCACTTACGTGTTTAATTTTAGTTGGTTCTGGTGCCGCCGGTTCAGTTATGGCTAATAGATTATCTAAGGATCCTTCTAACAGGGTTCTTCTACTGGAAGCTGGAAACAGACCTAATTTAGCGAGTCAGATTTACGCACTATCTTTAGATGAAAGTAATGCAAGACATGACTGGAATTACACGTCCATCCCACTAAAAAGAATTGGTCAGGGATTACGAGAAAGGGTAAAATTATTATGTAAACTGAGCTTTGTTGTCTTATTTAATCTTAACAAGTGGTCGTATAAAATGTAATTTAGTTTTTTTCTTGTCATATAGCGCCTCTCAATAGCAGCAGGTCGAGTTTTGGGAGGTTCAGCTTCCATAAATGTAGGTCTCTACTTTCGAGGAAATAGACGTGACTATGATAACTGGGCTCGAAATGGAGCAATCGGTTGGGATTGGAAAAATGTTTATCCTTATTTCTTAAAGATGGAAGACAATCGAGATGTTGGGATTGTTGTAAACGGTAAACTCACAAATTTTTAAAATTAATCTCCTATGTGCTTTACAGTCTTTAAACAAATTGTGCGAAACGCGTATTGGCAAAATTGGTTTAAAGACTGCGAAGCACATAGGAGAATAAAGTGGATATGAATAAGTCTAGTGTCTTATGTCAACACTTCATAGTGTCAAAAAATAATCTAAAACGTGCACTTTTTCAACACAAAGAAGAGATTATGATTATATTAAATAGATAACTTATTTACAGGGTACCATGGTGTTGGTGGAGAATTAGTTATTCAGTTTCCTCCCTTTCATACTGCATTGACAAATGCATATAATGAAGCAGCGGAAAGTATTGGTTATCCGTATGGAGATTACAATGCACAGCATCAAACTGGTAAAGGAATGACAAATATTTGCTATTAATTAACAAAAACGTAAGAAATTTATAATGCAAAAATAATTTTTTCGTAGTTTTTATGCAGCCTCAAGGTGCAATCAATCGTGGAATAAGATGGAGTGCAGTTCGAGGTTTTATCGATCCAATCATAGGAAGGAGGAATTTTCGATTGATTACGTCTGCATTTGTAACTAAAGTATGTAAAAAGAAAAAAAGAGGTTTAAATGTTTTTTGTAAATAGCTAATCTAAGGAAAATTTCATATTGAAATTTCTTACAAAATGAAAGAAAAAAACAGTTTCAACAGTTTTTTTAACTATAAACATTTATAATTATAGGAATTTAATATATTCATATTAAAATATACTGTAATTTAGGTTACTTAAGAAAAAAATATTAATTATTAAAATTATTCTTATGTTCATTGTTTAATTAGAATTCGCAATATTTTAAAAAATACTTTGTTTATGTTTTAGTGACAATATTTAAAACAGGATCATAGTTAAATAGGTGTTTAATTTAAAAAAAAAAAAGTTCTGTTGACAATGCGTGCTTATGACTAACAAGCAGCCAGTTAAGCAAATCAATGGCAAATCAATTCCACTGAAACGAATTATGCCATTGATTTTTTAACTTAACTGCTTGCTACTTAGAAACATCCAAAATAATATTAGATAATTTTTGGAAGTATTTTTAAAACTTCTAAATCATCGGAGAAGAAGGTACCCATTTTCACTTTGATATATTTTTCACTTAAGTGTACATCAAACATGGTTTTATGGATTTCAATATCCATGTTGCTATAATAATCTTCACTTTACTCCAGCGTTACGTAAATCGTTACTGATTTTTTTTTATACTTTTATAATTGTTTTAAGTGATTTAAATTAAAAATGCATTCGCTTAAGTCAGCGTTTCTCAAAGTGGGCGATAACGCCCCCTTGTGGGCGCTGGAGGCTTTCAGGGGGCAGTAGAAGGCTCAAAGAGAATTGGGGGGCGTTAAGGAAATATAGAGGAGCGACGGCAGACAAATTCTATATATAAAAATTCGACGGAATATATATAAAATGTTGACATTTTATATATTTTTTATTGAAGGTAACTCNAATTGGTTTAAAGACTGCGAAGCACATAGGAGAATAAAGTGGATATGAATAAGTCTAGTGTCTTATGTCAACACTTCATAGTGTCAAAAAATAATCTAAAACGTGCACTTTTTCAACACAAAGAAGAGATTATGATTATATTAAATAGATAACTTATTTACAGGGTACCATGGTGTTGGTGGAGAATTAGTTATTCAGTTTCCTCCCTTTCATACTGCATTGACAAATGCATATAATGAAGCAGCGGAAAGTATTGGTTATCCGTATGGAGATTACAATGCACAGCATCAAACTGGTAAAGGAATGACAAATATTTGCTATTAATTAACAAAAACGTAAGAAATTTATAATGCAAAAATAATTTTTTCGTAGTTTTTATGCAGCCTCAAGGTGCAATCAATCGTGGAATAAGATGGAGTGCAGTTCGAGGTTTTATCGATCCAATCATAGGAAGGAGGAATTTTCGATTGATTACGTCTGCATTTGTAACTAAAGTATGTAAAAAGAAAAAAAGAGGTTTAAATGTTTTTTGTAAATAGCTAATCTAAGGAAAATTTCATATTGAAATTTCTTACAAAATGAAAGAAAAAAACAGTTTCAACAGTTTTTTTAACTATAAACATTTATAATTATAGGAATTTAATATATTCATATTAAAATATACTGTAATTTAGGTTACTTAAGAAAAAAATATTAATTATTAAAATTATTCTTATGTTCATTGTTTAATTAGAATTCGCAATATTTTAAAAAATACTTTGTTTATGTTTTAGTGACAATATTTAAAACAGGATCATAGTTAAATAGGTGTTTAATTTAAAAAAAAAAAAGTTCTGTTGACAATGCGTGCTTATGACTAACAAGCAGCCAGTTAAGCAAATCAATGGCAAATCAATTCCACTGAAACGAATTATGCCATTGATTTTTTAACTTAACTGCTTGCTACTTAGAAACATCCAAAATAATATTAGATAATTTTTGGAAGTATTTTTAAAACTTCTAAATCATCGGAGAAGAAGGTACCCATTTTCACTTTGATATATTTTTCACTTAAGTGTACATCAAACATGGTTTTATGGATTTCAATATCCATGTTGCTATAATAATCTTCACTTTACTCCAGCGTTACGTAAATCGTTACTGATTTTTTTTTTATACTTTTATAATTGTTTTAAGTGATTTAAATTAAAAATGCATTCGCTTAAGTCAGCGTTTCTCAAAGTGGGCGATAACGCCCCTTGTGGGCGCTGGAGGCTTTCAGGGGGCAGTAGAAGGCTCAAAGAGAATTGGGGGGCGTTAAGGAAATATAGAGGGGCGACGGCAGACAAATTCTATATATAAAAATTCGACGGAATATATATAAAATGTTGACATTTTATATATTTTTTATTTTTTATTGAAGGTCACAACTTGAATATTTCTAATACATTGACTTTTATTTTAGCTCAGCGTTTCTCAAAGTAAGCAATAACGCCTCCTTCTGGGCGATGAATAGATCTAGGGGGCGCTGGAGGCAGGGTATTGAACGGTGACCAAAGGCAAAATTGGGGCTGATAAGAGGAAACATTGCGTTTAATGGTTTCCAGATGATGAGAACAATGTACAGTAAGGGCACAAAGTGTGAGATTCATAGAAAAGTTTTCCTAAGAATATTTCCAATCCTTTTCTCACGCAAGAGAAAATGGGTTAGGGGGCGTTGGGTATAACTTTATGGAACAAAGGGGGCGGTGGATCGAAAAAGTTTGAGAATCACTGGCTTAAGTGAATAATGTGAAATCTGATCTGGAGTTTTAACTCGTAAATTAACATAGTTGGATTCATCCAGATTTATTGAATTCCGTTCCACATCATCCGGATGCCGATTTTCTGGTCTTGGTAAAACACATGAGAAATATTGATAAAAGTTATCATAGTGACCGCTGGGCGGAGAGTCAAAATTATTAATTACATTTATCTTTTCCACATTGTATACCATTGATAAAGTTCCAATTAATGTAAAATGTTCATTATAACAGATATCTTTATTCTGTAGCAAAATATTTCCTTGGAAACGAGAATCAATAACAAAAATTTATTAGCAGAATAGCATACTCATTTTTCTCTTAAAACAGACTTAATATATTGTTTCAGTACAAAATTTAAATACATATATGTATAACGTAAAATTGACGAAGTTAAAAGAGATATTACAATTTATAATTATTTCAGATATTAATTGACGAAGATAACAGGGCATATGGTGTTTTATTCCATCACAATGAGAAGACACTCATGGCATTTGCAAGAAAGGAAGTGATAATATGTGCCGGAACTTTGAATTCTCCCAAATTGCTTACGTTGTCTGGAATTGGTCCGAAAAATGTTTTACACAATTTACATGTAATTGGTAACATTTCGTAACAATTATCTGAATGTGAGAAAATCATTATCTTAGGAATATATGCGTAAATTTTAGAGGGTTAAAGCTTTATGTCGAATATATAAAGAGCTAAAACACCCATAGTTAATATAATAATTACATTATAAATAAATCAATAAAATATGTTATTCCTTAGATACCAGTGAAAATGGATCTTCCTGTAGGGAATAATCTACACGATCATACTTCGACTACAGCAATGCAATTTCTTGTTGATTCTTATACGTTTTCGGAACATCGATTTACTAAAGAAGATTACCAAGAACTTCTAATTAATGGAACGGGTAATTTTTTGCATACTTTTCGTTGATGTTTTTGTAAGTAAATTTTTATTATCAAAAATTTTTATTTAAAATATATATTTTATAAATATAACTGTTTTCAAAAATATTAAATAGATATTAGAGAATTGTCGATATATAATGTTCATGAAATATGCATAAGTCAAGTTAGCTTATCGAATGCAATCTGAATTCTAATAATTTATCATAAGTTATATCATTCAGGATTGAGTAACGGAATGATTCCTAAAATAATTTTTTCATCATCCATCAAATTATCTAAATCTATCATCTTGTGATTATATTCCTTTTTGAGGTGGTCAAAAAGGAATATAATCACCGTTTCGACCTCCTCAAAACGGAATTAACAGGTCACCGCTTTGAAAGTTGCTGCATGTGAAGACAAAACTTCATAAGCAATCGTACACGTTCTATAAGAATTGTAACCAAAATCTTGTGCCACGATAGGAGGAAAGTTTGGCTTTTTAGCTAGCCTATTATGGATTTAGTCAGGTCACAATGTGGCGTCCGATTGGTAAGGGGTGGAGCCGACAAATTCAGACAGTTCACTCCCGAAAAATCACTAGAATTTTCGATTTGTCCCGATTTGATTACCATCCTCCAGACCGCTTGGCCATCCGACCATTTGGAATAAGGCAATGCAACAGATGGGTCTCGTGCCAAGAGATGATACCTCCAGGGAGGATATTTTATAGAAACTGTCCTCTAGTTAGGTGTTTTACACGTGAAAAAACGTAGAAAACTCTATTGTTCAAACCGGTTGTTCAGCGCGAGAGCACTTGTTTAATGGTTATTCACTAGTGGACAGAAAAGATAATTTATATAAAAAATATGCAATACTGCTTTAAACAGAAATCACTTCTGTGGAATATTATTCAGATAGTTGAAATGACAGATGGTATTTTTACATAATTTAAAACGCATTATTTAGCTGGATTCTAGTTGATAACAGGATTTGTGAATTGATAGTTTAATGCGATTCTATAGGAACTCAGATCTCTCACGGAATTATGGATAGTGTGGATCGATCTCAATCTAAAATTCTTACCCATTAAATATCCAAGTGATTCCTTTTGTTTTCGCAGAATCCCTAGAATCTCATTAGAACTAAGGTTTGTATCTCTTTAAAATCTTTCTCACATTGTTTCCCGAATTATTAATAAAATCGACAGATTAATATTAATTTACTACAAACATTTTATTTAAAAAATAATTATAAATTAATAACCTTTTAATTACATTTGGAAAATAATTTATTTTGTTTTAAGGTCCACTGACTACACTCGGACCAGTAGAATCGATCGGAGCCATTAACACCAAGTATAACGAAAACAAAGATTGGCCTGATGTAATTTTATTTTGGCTAACATCAAGAATTGGAAATAGACTTTCAAACGCTAATGATAAAGTATTATTATTTCTATCGTTTCGTTGTTTTCAAAATACAGACGAATCTCCAATAACGGCCACATCTAAATAGCCACCATTTTTTTCACAAGTATTTCTTTTGAAAAGCATATAAGATAATCCCAAAACAATAGCCAATTTTATCGTTCTGCCAGTGGCCGTTGTTGAGAGGTTCGACTGTAATTAAATTTCAATTATTTTATAAGTAATTACTATTAAATTTTCAGATACAAAATATATTTGATAAATTCAGAAATCAGGATGTCATTTCATGCATACCTTTTGTCATTCGGCCTAAAAGTAGAGGAGTGTTGACGTTGAAATCCAATGATCCATATGAGAAACCTCTAATCGATTTCAATATCTTATCTCATCCTTATGATTTAAATGCTCTTGTAGAAGGTAATTATTTCTATCAACATAATCAATTTCTTTGGGTTATTATTTAAATGTTTGTGTAAATGCAATTCAGTGAACTGATTTTGCTATTTAATCGGCTTTTCAAAACTCCTATGCTTTCAACTCAACCTTTATTAAATATATTCTAAACAACTCATATGCATTTCGAGCCAACTTCTCGATTTTTCGGTTCTTTTTCTTTCATAAAACAATTGTATACATTAAAAATCCTAGATAGTTGCAGATTATAATGTATACAATTGTTTTATAAAAATTGTATTCACTGAAAAGGAACCAAATATTCGAGAAGTTATCGGAATTCATATGAATTGTTTGGAATATATTTAATAAAGGTTGGATTGAAAATTTAGGAATCTTGAAGTAGCAAAATGAGTTTATGAATTACGTTGACGCAAACATTTAAATAATCAATTTTTAATAAATAAATAACTACTGCTTCATAAATTACTATTGTATACATTAAACGGAACATATATTAACGGAAAAGGTTTTATTTTTGCTATTGAAATTTCGTTAAATTAAACTAATGCATACAATAAAACTATTTTCATTTATAGTTTTAATTTCTGCAAAAGACATCGAAAAGTCTTATTTTATTTATTAGTGGTATAACTATTTTATGCATATCGGGAATCGTAATTAATTAAAACAACTTTATTCATCGCTGTGTAGAGAGATATTTAGCAGTTCAAATGCTACTGAATCTATAACGATGACATTTCAGAAAACGCAGATATTTCCGTAAAAAGTTACCACCAAAACTTATCTCTATGACACTTTTGAAGGTGCAACCAACGAAAAAACAGTTTTATTTGTGCAGGTATGTGTTGCATTTATGTCCTGGGTATAAAAGTGGTCAGAATTATTGAATGTTATTCCCTATCAGCATCGTCGGCCATTACTTTGCTGCAACGCGCATTTGTTGTGAAGTATTTTATCAAAGCAATGGTAATGCAGCTGAAAAACTTCGGGAATTTCGCCGTCTTAAGAATTTACGCAGAACACTATTGACTCTGCAAGTTTTCAGGAGAATAGTCACTCAATTTGAGGAAACTCATCGTCTGAGAGCTCAATCCGACTGAAGGAGCAAACGTGTCACTTTTCAAGTCGTTGAAGATATTACCACAGCTATTGTTAGACAATGAATAACGAAAGGATTATATAATGTTGCAGACTTCAATACTGCACATGCAATGTCACTACAGCTAGGTTTATTCTTTGGATCTATTAAAAAAGTTGATGCATTGATATCCATACAATACCACCACAAACAACAGTTACTTGTTATTGACGAGGAAATCCAATTGATCTTTGCTATTGGCTTGTCAAAACGACAGTGGATGTGTTGTGGTCATGGAAAATCCTGTGGAACGATTAGGCACATTTTACTTTAATAGAACAGAGGAAATTTGTAACTATCATGTGGTCCATGAGTGTCATGTACAAATGCTTATCACTTGCAGAGCCACAAGTGCTACAGTAATGACTTTTAGTTCTGCTTTTTATAAATTATCTTCTGCAGATGCTGAAATGCTACCACACTAGATTTAGTTGCAGCTGAACTGCTAAATGTCTCTGTACACATTGAATACTGGTACTTTAATTACGACCACCTGGTATATAATTTTGAATATGCTATTTAATAATGTGTTAAAAAATTTTTATTGAAAACATTGTATATAGGGGAGACCGGGGCAACTTCGGCATGCGGGGCAAGTTTGTCAAGCGCTTTTTTTTAAAAACAAATTAAAAGGAGACTTTGGTTATAGGTTAGGCAGTTGAGTTTTATTGGTGGCTTGTTGAGTGTAGTGTTTTTATTGTTCTCCAACAAGCGTAGTTGAATTATCAAGCAAATTTTCATTTTCGTTCAATTCCATATAATATTTTTTTTCCATTTATATTGAATTGGCAGGTTTTGTTATAATTCCATGATAACGAAAGTTACTTTTCCTGTTAGAAGGATGTAACTTCAACTTATTCACGTGGCCAGATCGTGGCTTGGCATTCTGTTCTCAGGGTTGTACTTAATGTTTCGAAATCATGACTAGCGGGGTAAGATCGGCAACATAAAGCCACATTAGAAGCAAAGGATAAAAATCAAACAGATGATAAATGAAAACATGTTTGCATTTGTTATTCATGTATATATGTCTTTGAACTTGCATTTCGTTGTAATAATATTAAATGGGTGTTGGATTTGTATTTCTTTGTTTTAATAGTGAATTCCAACTTATACATTGTTAATAACATAATTTTATATACGTGCCTATCTTGCCCCATTACTGTTGCCCCTATACCAGGGGCAACTTTAATAAAAATAATTAAAATAATTACAACTTTACAAAAAGAGAGAAGTTGCCGATCTTGCCCCTATACCCGGGGCAACTTCGTCAATTTCTCTCTTCTTGTAAAGTTGTAATTATTTTAATTATTTTTATTTCCAAACTGATTTTAACCAGTTCTATAGTAAGGTAACATTCCAATAGACAATATGCAAAGCTTTTTTTTCAGTTTACAGCAGTATTTATTACACAAAATTTAAGTAAAGCTTAACATGCCGAAGTTGCCCCGATCTCCCCTATATATATTTAAATATATCTAATCTTTGTTTGTAGGTTCAAAACATTGTTTGTTAATGGCGTCCACAAAATCTATGAGGATGTTTGGTGTCAGACCTCTTCCGTTTATTATGCCAGGATGTGAACATTTTAAACCATTCAGCGATGAATATTTGGCTTGTATAGTTTCCGTTTTGCCTCTCACAGGATATCATTTTGTTGGAACCTGCAAAATGGGTCATCCTGATGATCCTTCTTCAGTAGTAGACCCAAGTCTCAAGTTAGTGCTTTTTATTTTATCTTTATTTTATATTTAATGTAGTCTATATATAATTAATAGAATGGATAATATTTTTAAAATTTTGTAATTAAATAACATTAGCCTATACCGTTGGTTTATATGAGCTTATTTAAAACTTTGTAACAGGTTATAGGCCCATGTTACGATAGGTATCGAGTTACAATTTTTAAAGAATCCTAGTAACAAGAGAAGAATGTAACGATACCATATTAAAAATAAATCTATAATAAATATGTGTTTATAGAGGTTCACTTAAACACAACTGAACTCTGTCAGCTTTGTTTAATGTCTTTACCATCGTACAGACATTCCTACCGTTCGAAGATCTGCAGACAATAGAAATACTGAAAATTCTGAACATAGTGAACCTCTGCCAGCGTTTCTTATAAGGTACTAGAGTATCGATTTTAAGGCTCTTGTGGCATTACCTGGCGTGCAATCTAGCCGCAATAATTATCATCTACATGCTTGTCTGTAACTGCTGTATTGAGACTTTTACAGAAATTGGGCAATCCAATCTGAATGCCTAACTCTTTTGTGAATAAATGTATTTCTGTTGATTGCTAATGAAACTAGTGAATGGTCGTTGCCGACATGTACCCTACGATTATGGTATTATGAACTAATAACTAATTTATCTGTTGAATAATTTAATAATGTAACGTAGCAATAGCACAGCACTGCAATATCACAGGATAAGAGATTGACTATGATAATTTGTACTGAACTAAATAACAATTTAATTACCTATTTGTCGAATTGCGAACATTTCCTCTTAATATAACTTAAATCATATTGTTATTAATAACTATTTAAGAAGTCGAAGTTGATTAATTAATGTATGCGAAGGACCACAGCATATAAAAGAATATACATCATCAAGTGTTAATTATTTTACTAAACACCACATTACATAACAGCTATTATGATTCTTTAATTGTGTAGTCTTATAAAATAGTATTGTTTAAATACAATAAATTAATATTTTAATTTGCCAGATTTTAGCACATACAAATAGATACTTGTTGATGAAATGCTATGTTACAAAATCTAAGTTTTTAGTGAGTTGATGTTTAAGTTTTTATCACATATTTAGCTATAATTACAGAGAGTATTACATACCGTCCAATCTCTGACAATTTTGATGATGGTATGTGGCATTCTGATACATTAGACCTTCAACCATGCAATACAATCGGTAACATAACACCCTTATCAATTCGTGTCTTTAAATGTATAGGAGTGCATAGAGTCTTTTTTAAGTAGGTATAGACATAATAATTTTTCTATCGATTGAAACTTAATACATGGCTCTTTACTAATTAAAAATATTTGTTTTGTATTGGCAGAGTTAAAGGTATCCACGGACTAAGAGTTGTCGACGCATCGATTATTCCTTCATCGATTGGGGCCGCTACAATGGCTCCTACTATGATGATAGCAGAGAAAGCAGCAGAAATGATACTTCATAATTTATAAAATTATATCTATCAAATTTTATATATTAATACTATTTCAGTATAGCATATTTAAAAAGAAAGATAAGTTATTTGGTAGATAATTATGAAAATAATTAAAATTATGTTCGTAAATCATTGCTTCAACGTCAAAAAAGCATATCAATTATGAATTCATTTTGATGAAAATTTTTAGTAATTTTCTATATTTAAAATGAATACTGTATGTTTGAATTTACAGTATTAAAAATACACATTTTAACAAGTGAATATAACCCGTACAGTATTTAATTAGAATGAATTATGTTTTCAATATACTGTATCAATATGCTCTGTATCAGGGGTCGCCAAACTTTTTTTATCGTCGACTACAACTACAACTTTTCGAAACCTCACATCGACCCCCACCAAAAAGTTTGTGTTACAAGTAAAAGAAGCTCTATTACAGTATTAAAAGATACATATTTTAATATACTGTAAATCTTTTAATTTTACATTTTTTACATTTATTGTATATATGTTAATAATAATTTTTGTAACTGACAATCAATGAGACGGATAAGCTTGATAAACCTTAGCAAGATTAGCAATATTCGGTTCAAAATTTGTAAGTTTTAGTCTTTTCATCGACCCTCCCGGTAATGTTATATTGACCACTTTGGCAGCCCCTGCTCTAGAGTGAATACCCAATATGATATATGATACAGGTGGATCACTACTAGAGGCGAATGGCTGTTTTATGTGAGGGCATTCCAGACCATCNCGTACCCGACAGTCTCGCGAATACATAAAAGAATTGTTTTGTCAGAAAAATAAAAGGCTGGAATTACAAGGGAGTTTCAAAGTTCGGAGAAATACTATCCGATCGGTATATACCGGCTTGAGCGTCGATGTCGACGTCTCCCACACTCCGAAAAGTTTCGAATTGTTGCCCGAAGACAAGGAAAGTCCAATCGGTATTCATTATTTTACATCGCTTCTTCTTGTGTTTGTTCTATGGGGTGTTCGTTATCCGATCATGTGTTCGTTGTCCGAACATAAAAATCTTTCACGAAAGTGTTCGTTATCCGATTTGTTCGTTATCAGATCTGTTCCTTAACCGATCACCCACTGTATGTTTGAATTTACAGTATTAAAAATACACATTTTAACAAGTGAATATAACCCGTACAGTATTTAATTAGAATGAATTATGTTTTCAATATACTGTATCAATATGCTCTGTATCAGGGGTCGCCAAACTTTTTTATCGTCGACTACAACTACAACTTTTCGAAACCTCACATCGACCCCCACCAAAAAGTTTGTGTTACAAGCAAAAGAAGCTCTATTATTAAAAGATACATATTTTAATATACTGTAAATCTTTTAATTTTACATTTTTTACATTTATTGTATATATGTTAATAATAATTTTTGTAACTGACAATCAATGAGACGGATAAGCTTGATAAACCTTAGCAAGATTAACAATATTCGGTTCAAAATTTGTAAGTTTTAGTCGTTTCATCGACCCCCCAATAATGTTATATCGACTCCTGGGGGTCGATTTAGACCACTTTGGCGACCCCTACTCTGTATAGTGTATTTCAATGTAATCTATTACTGTATACATGCAACTTATTCATTCATATAGTTAGTTATATGTACTTAATTTCTCTGTATTTATTATTGTAAATATTAAAAATTTACTTATTTTATGAAAAAGTCTATTTTGTGCAAGGACGGGCGACATTGGTACACGTATAGAGAGAACTGTAGACGAATGCAAACAAAGATATGGCAAGAACTGTATTACTCAATGTCTAAGACAGGATACTACAGAACAACTTGTTTGATTTTACAATGCAAAGCAATAAAAATAAGTCTTTGAAGAAAAAGGTACATTCAGTTAAACGTAGGTAGCGAATGAATAAAAGGGTTTACCACTACCCATTCAGAAAAATCTGTCAGTATGGAATACGTCCCCCTGGAACGGCGATGCAGCACTCAACAACATCATGAAAGGAGACTGGCTACGTGACTTTTTCTAGTTATCGCCGCTAGCAATTATGTTTGCCCTCAAGTTTTGGGCACGCGTGTTTATTGTGGCGAACTTATATTTACAACAATGCCATAGAAATTAGCTTGACAAATAGACAAAAATACTTTAAAGATATGTGAATTTTCATTGCTATTTTTATTGTTTATTTATTTTAAAATTTTCTGTATTAATTTACTATTTTCCAAATTATCTCAGAAAATCTTTTATCTATTTCTATATATTAAAAGATATTACTGCAATTATAAAAATTTAAATATGGACATTTGAGATATTGGAATATTTATACCTACTTAGTGTATAGACAAGTGCATTACGTGATAAACTGAAGAATATTTGTAAGTTTTACATTTAAAAATCATATGAATGAAGCCTGATGATATTTCTTAATCAGGCTTTATTTATTTCTTTATCATCAGGCATCACAATATATTTTTATGATATTCTGTGCATCACATGTAAATCTACATCTGATTTGTGTGCTGTACAAATAGTAGTTTAATAAGCTTTATCTTCGTGGACCTAATGGTCGATTACGTGTTTACTAATCTGATTGTTTTATATGATAACAATTCAACGATGTACGTAGCACACACTCCAACCGTATACATACTTTTCATTACATCACATCACCTGCTGAGAACTTTAGTGAAATAACTCCGAAAATGTCATTTCGAGATAATTGCTACAATGAAAACTTCAATCTTTCCTTCCAACTTAACTATTTGGGTTAGCCAAATAGAACACTTTCTACTTTAAGGTCTAGTTTTCGTCATCTTTCAAATTTAGTACGTAATTTTTTAAATTTTAGTTACGTCACTGAAGAATAAAAATTTCAATAAGTTTTGAAGACTTTATGCTGGAATGATGACATTTTACCGTAAATTATTGTGACACTCGTGGTATACATAATTCAAAATTAACAATTTCGGAGTTATGTCTGTACATTCTCAGCAGGCGAGTTATAAATTCAAAATTAATGTTGTCAACATGTGTATTCAACAACTCATATCAAAAATAGATACGCGACAATTATCTTGAAGTAGTGTTTTTTAAACTCTTTTTTGTCATCTTTTAATCATTTTTTACAGGAAAATAACCAGATGAACAAATAGTAACAGATAGTGATATGTTGAGTAACTTATAATATATACTCATAAGAATATAATATACGTTTAAATAAAATATTTAAAATAAAACACACCCGATTTTCATTTAAATATATACACATGCATAATAGTAAGAATGATTAATTTTCAATTTGATCGCTGCATTCTTTTAAAATATTAAAGTATATTAGATTGGCGTAAAGTATAATAAATACATAAATAAATTTTTTCCTTATCCCGCTCTATTTTCTTCTTTTTGGGATCTAGCCCTGCGCTTCTTAATCGATTGTCCGCGAACCCCCTAGGAGTCCGCAGAACTTTGAGAGGGTTCGCGGTCCATCATAGAATGGTCCACGATACGAGAAACGTTGAGCACCACTGATTTAGCCTACAGCTAAAACATTAACCTGATTGGGCTGCAACTTGAAAAAATTGCGCACCTTAAATGCCCACTGTTTGGCTGTCTATCCTTCCTTAATTTTCCTCTAAACAGAAGAGATAGATTACCGCACGACGCTATTTCTAACAGGGAAAAGTATGATGTACAAGGGCAAGAGACAACTAATTTGAGGTAAAGAGCATATATTTTAAATTAAATTAATTACAGATATTATTGAAAATTAAGTATATTCGTATAATTTTCCTTCTGATACAAATATATCAAGATTTTTGATACAGTTATTATTATTGTTAAATATTTTTCAGCATAAAAATTTGAATATTTCTATAGATAAAACTGTTAGATATGTTATCGTCTTATGTTACGTAATACAGGATAAATCTGATATAACAGAAAGCATATTTATTATGAACTTTATTCCATATTAAATTATTATTAGGTAAAATTACAAATATTCAACATGGTTTTCATATTTTTATTATGGGTTGGGTTTTTGTTCTTCCCTGAGACAATTACAACGGATCAGTATGACTATATTGTTGGTGAGTAATATTAAATTAAAACAACCTATATTAATTAATAAACTGTGCATATGTATAACTGTGTATTAATTAATTGTAAATTAATTGTATTTAATTTTTTGAATGAAGTGAGATTTATTAATTATTTTATGTATATCTATATAGACTATCAATAAATATATCTGTAGTTTTTAAAGAAAATAAAATATGAAATAATTAATAAATCTCACTTTATTCGAAAAATTAAATACAATTAATTCAAAGTGATTAAATCAGTTTAAGCTAGTTTCTATAACTCCATTCTGTGAGCACCAAGAAGACCTTTTAAGCAGCACATAACAGGTTTGTCCAGGCCTACAATGGGGTAGACTGGTAGTGAGGGACCGGGCCCAATGGAGCAGTGGAGCCTGACTGAACCCATAATGGGCTTACTAAAACGGGGACCTTAGTGTCCACAAAGAGGAAACAGTTAAAAAATATAACCCAATCCACTGGATTGGGTTGTATTTTTTGGAACTGAATATACAAGTATGTTGCCAATTATAATAGATTTGACACTCAATTTGGATTATTTGACAACTAGATTTGGCTATTTTTCATTTCCTGATTCGTTCCGCCTTGTCGACACTATAAGGGCCTTTCTTTCCATACTCATTGCGAATTCGGCTTGGTCTGCATTAGGGGCGATCGAGAGGTGAGAGATGGGACCCTAAGTATACGGGATTTACCGTGCAAGTAAAATTCGTGCGGTTCTAGCTTACATGTAATCTCGGATTCTTCAGAGCTGTAGGTTGAGCCTTAATCGCCTTTGCCAAATTTAGTCCAATGCATTTGACTAGTATGATTGAAAAAGTTCTAAAGTAAAGAATTTCAAAGTGAAGAACACAAATTAAATAAGGGCTCTACACATAATAGTCCAATTCTGTTTAAGAAGGAAGATACAGGTTTGTGATAAGATTTGAGTATGCTAGTTGTAAAAATTCTCAATATTGTAGCATATTTAATTGAATATTTAAGTGTATAACATGATCTCTATACTTGCTATTACGGTCTTTAAACTCCTTCAAACAATTGAAGTTAACAAATTTGTTGTTAATGTCTGTAGTTTGACCTGGTAGCTATTATTTTATTTTTATTATTTACCTGTTTGATTTCAGTTGGTTCTGGTGCTGCCGGTTCAGTTATAGCTAACAGATTATCTAAGGACACTTCTAACAGGGTTCTTTTACTGGAAGCCGGAGAGAAACCTAATATAGCGAGTGAGATTTATGCTTTTAGTTTAGGCTCAACCAATGCAAGATATAATTGGAATTACACGTCGATTCCCCTTAAACGAAATGGGCAAGGATTACGAGGAAGAGTAAAAATTTGTAGTTTACTTTTGAATTCATGTTTCTATATTTTCATGTAAAGTAGATATTTTTATGCCACAGCGACTTTCGGCAGCAGCCGGTAGAGTTTTGGGAGGTTCTGCTTCCATAAATGCCGGTCTCTATTTTCGAGGTAACAGACGTGACTACGATAATTGGGCTAAAAATGGTGCTATCGGTTGGGACTGGAAAAACGTTTATCCTTATTTCTTAAAGATGGAAGACAATCGAGATATTGGGATTATTGAGAAAGGTAACATCTATTAAGATTTAAAAAATCATTATTATAATTATATTAAATAGATAAATTATTTATAGGTTATCATGGTGTTGGTGGAGAATTAGTTGTTCAATTTCCTCCTTTTCACACTGCATTAAAAAATGCCTATAAAGAAGCAGCGGAAAGCATTGGTTATCCGTATGGAGATTATAATGCAGAGCATCAAACTGGTGAAGGAATAAAAAGATTTTATAATATATTAGTTACTAAAGGAATTATAAATTTATTAAATAAAT